GGCACTTCTCACATCCCGTGGGTCTTGAGAGAATGAGGGTAATAGGTGTTTCCTATGCAGATGGATCTTACCTTGTGTATTTGTTAGCGTACGACAGAGTCATAAAATGAGGTGGGATCAAAGCCCGTGTGAATGAGAAATATGTCACAGGATAATAAACAGGATTTCGGATGAGAGTTAGTGTAATCCTGATGATTTCTGCAAAAAGGCCTGGGAACGGAACCAAGTTTTCCTCCTCTTCTCCTTGCTCTATATAAAGAGCTCACATGCGCAGTGATAATTGCCGTGCTGAAAGGATGCCAGGTCCTGTAACGTGCCCACCAGCACGCCTGGGTCCTGACCACGAGGGCTCCTCACTTGGGGGCACCACCAAATATGCAGAGCGTGATCCCATTTACACAYTGCTAAAGCTCTTTCATGACGTGGAAAACTCACAGGATCCAGCTTTTCCGTAAATTTGCAGACAAGATCAGGTGTTTCCAACTTCGATGGGGTGATGAACGACAAAAGACGGATTTGAGTGTGTAGAATGTCTGCAGTAGAAAAATAGGCCCCCTTTTCTCCCTGTCCTGGCTCCGCTGGGGTTGGTGGAGTGGTGCCAAGGCTGGCTATGCCCACAGTCAATAGGACAAGTGGCCTCCTGGCAGGAGGGAGCATCCATAGGTCTGGTCTTGTGGGAACAGTTAGGTTGTCTGATATGGGCAGTGCCTGGTGGCACTTCAGGAACATCCAACTGGACCAAAATGAGTTTTGAAGAGATTTCGGGTCTATCTATCCTGCCTAGAAGACAATATGTTAATAGAGATGTCTTCAAGCATGGAATGAGTTCAGTTCCCTCTGTGGTACTGAGCTATCAGGCCCGTTAGCAAGGTTTTAATTGATATAATAAGAATTTTATGTGTTTTTTTTTCTCCACTTATGCTAATTTGGCATCRTTGTAGGTGAATATTAAGTGAGATTTGAAAGGAAGATCTGATTCTCAGTGTACTTKATCTAGCTGATAGAGATGATCTGTTCAAAAGCAGTCGTCCTTATTTTCCATTCTGTTTCCTGTTTTTTTCTGGGAAAAAGTGCTGGCTTGTCTGTAAGCTGTCGAAGCACCAAGTACTCAGAGAGTCTCCATAGTGTATTAAGGCTTCTAGGTAGTTGGAATCTGCTTGTTAAAAACTTGGGGAATATGGAGATGAGTCTTGGCACTGGAGATGCTGCTTTGTGGTGCTAAGTAGCTGCAGTTTGAAGCCTGAATCCTCAGCATCTCCTGAGCTAAAAATGTTTGTGCTGCTACTCCCGTGCGCCTCGGGAAGCAAAGTGCCGGTTTCTATAACGTTTTCTCCACCAAATCCCAGCCAGGGTGTTGGRAAATGTTTGCTGGAGTAGAGGTAAGGGGGAAAGAGGGAGGATGTTGTCATTCAAGCCACGAGCTAGTCAAACATAAAGCTGCAAGGGGGAATTGCCCTAGTTTGGAGCTCACCTAGTGCTTGTGACAGGACAGGCGATGCTCTTGCTTTGGGTTTAGGTAGTTCATGATATTTAACCGAAGCTGAGATCCAGAAATGTGTATGATTCAAAAAGGAGAAAACTGGTTGGACTTTTCAAAGAGSATAAGGCGGTTTGGTTCCCAGGTGTCACTGGAAGCAGTTTCTTTCGAAGATCCTAGCTTTAGAAGCAGGGAAAAACAAGGATAAATAGTCATACATCATTTCTAAAGATGGGCCAAGATTAACRTTGTCTACCTTTGCAAATACAGCCTGTGTCTGGATGTGTTACCAATTCATGGTCTCCTGCTAGGGGTGTATTTCCACTGGATACTGCGTTTTAGTGGCATTATGCTTTAGTGTTTGGCTAGATAGAGCACAGTATGGGTAACTTTGTAATCAAAAAGTATTAGCCGGCCATGGATTCTTAAAAGAAATTTTTGCTTTCTAGATAACTTCTTTCTATTGACCCTGTGGAAGAAACCAATAGCAATTTTAGGTCACTCTTCAGTAGCCCAGTGGGAATTTCCATTAAACCTTGTGTCCACATTATGGATTCAGCTGAATAGCTGCAGGAGAATTGTCTGGATGCATTTGGGAAACAACTTCCTCACTTGAGAAAACCACATTCCAAGCAAGGCACAAAGCTCTTCTTTTTTTTCTAGCTAGAATACGCAGTTCTCGCTCTTCAAAAGGATGGGTTTCAATAATTGTTGAAGTAGCAGTGAGAGGAATGATTTTCTCTTCATCAAATTAACTTGGTGTGTTTGTGATGGCATCCTGTAACCGAGCCAGTTTTCCAAGATGCAAACAGAACAACACCACCTGGCAAGCCCCRTGCCTCTGGGATTGGTGGCCTGAACCTCACAAAACATGTAAGTGAAGAACAGAAAATAAAGCTGTCAGTTACAGCTGCTAATAGCTTTTAAGCATTGCTCTATTTTATTGCAAACCTAAAATTAGCCGCTTCGATTTTTGTCAAGGTTTTCTTTCAATGCAATTTAGCTATCAAGGCTGAGTTTTGCAGTGGAAAAGGTATCTTAGCCCTTCATGTGTTTCTGTGCTGCTGACTACCAGACCTTTTATATAGTAAATCCAACTTGGTTTGTCAAGCTGCTGGGCTCCAAATTTGCCTTCAAATAGTTTGTAGTGGTTCATAAACAGGCGCTTGTGCATCACGCCATGCAGCGGAGTAAACACGGGGAGATCCGTCTCAATGAGATGGATGAACAGAGATGAGCACTCCGTAATCTGCGATTAGTGGATAAAGAGACTGGAGTGAAAACACAGTTCCTCATCAAAAAAAAAAAAGAAAGAAAGAAAAAAGAAAAAAAAAAACCCACCAAACCCTCTTAGAGCTAATGCAAAGCAACCTGCAGAGCCAAGCAGGAGGCCTGGGAGATCCTGCAGCCATGGGAGACATCCCCCCAGCCCCTCGGCACCTCTGAGGACCCCCTAGCCCTGCTGCCCAGCACTATATGGCTGATGTGTTCAGATTTGGGGGTTTCTGTGCTGGATTGGGGTTCTGCGCTGAAACGGCGAGGACGAGAAGGGCCCTGTGGCCACGGAGCACCCGCTCCCTCGTGGGTTTGCGGTGCTGCCCCGCGCTGGGACCCTGCACACGCCGTTTGAGATGACATCCGCGGAGGGATTCAGCATGGAGGTCTCATCTGCTTTAGCTGCCTAAGTCCTAAAACGCTATCCTAATCCCCCCACCTAATCCTGGTGACACCTACACGCCAGAAATGCCTCAGTTTTCTACCAGGAAGGTTCTTGGTTGCAAAAAGAAGCCCATATTTTTTCATAGAATCATTATGGTTGGAAAAGACCTTCAAGATCATCGAGCCCAACCCGTAAGATAATTGAGTCCGGCCACATTTAAAACCAATAAAAGAGGGGTGGCAGCTAGCCAGGATGCACCTGCCCCACAAGAGGAAAAGAAATGGGCAATTTGGGACCGCTCCTGGTGGCCTTGGCTCTGTGGAGCAGCGGCTTTGGGTTTCCTCCTCCCTGCCAAAGAGCTCAGCGGCTGGGACACCCGTGTGGGATGTAATTCCAGGAGAGCTCCACTGCTTCCCTTGGCTTGCTGCTTCAGACCCATCTTCAGGCAAGAGCGCAGGTGTGCACATAGGAAGTGCCATTCGTCCAGTTACGCAGCACCCGGAGTTGCCATGAGCATTTGGAAGCCACCTTCCTCTTGGGTGGCCCATGTCACCTTTGGGTCAGCCCTGTACCCCCTGGAGCCTTCGCCGCTCCCTCGGGGCCTCGCACTTCGGCGCTGGCCGCGTAGGGGAGCGCGGCCAGCGCGGGTCTCACTGGGTCACGCCGCTCRGCGCTCATTCAAATTCCTGCTGATCCCGGCAGCGGGCGTGTTGGGGGGGGGAAGCTTTCCCGAACAAAAGCCGGGCGTGAGTCATCCGCGGGAGTTTGGATTTGAAAGTGCAGTTATTTGTGAGCGGCCCGCCCCCGCGCGCACCCTGCAACGCGGCCTGGGCGCCGGCGCTGCGGCACCGCTCGCTCGCTCGCACAGAGCCCGCTTTGTACTTTGGCACTGTCATGGAGCTGCCTGCCAGCTGAAGCCACTCCTCCCTTGCGCAGAGATTTTTTGTTCCCGATCGGAGTCGGGAGGAGCAATCCGGGCGCCGCGGCGGGTTGCGGCGCTGTCAGATTGCCCCCTTCTCCGGCTCKGCTCCGGCGAGCGCCATGTGCTAGCGGGGCGGCGCGGGGCTGGAGATGCRGCGCTGGCTGCTTTCCCTTCTCCTTGGCAGCTAAATTATTACTCTGCATTTCGGTTTTCCTCCCCGTTTTCATGACCAGCACTGGGGGCTCCAGGAAATCCCGTGACGGCTGTTTTTGTTCAACCTGCCATCAACCTGCATTGCTCCTCCCGCCGCGGCACCGTTGCCCTGCTCGCTGCTCCTCCGGCTTAAGAAGCTTGATTCCCTAAGGCTCCTATCCAAGGGCATCGCTCATTAGCACACTGAGCTACATCTGCTTCTTGGCTAAGACTGCAGAAAGACATTTTAAGCTGGAAATCCTGCCCGCTCGCTCCCTCGCGCACGCGGAAGGGGACGCGGATGCGGCAGCAGGTTCTTGTGCTGCTCCGAAAGGCTCCTCGTGCCGGAGCTGCAGTGACGAGATGATGCAGTGAGTGTCTCCCGCTTCCCCCGGCAAGGAAGAGGCAGCGAAAGGAAGGAGCCAGGTAAATAGCAGCAGCAATAGGAGAGGCAGGGGAGGAGGACAGTGGTGAAGACCTGAAAATAAGATTAGAGRAAACAGGTGGAAGGCTGACCCGGAGCTGGGAGATAGTGTAGGCTGCAAGTGTCTTTTTGCCTTTTTCCTTTTTTTTTTAATTCTAAGCTGGTGTTGAAGAACCCTGCCACAAAGCGGGGCTGCTTGAGCAGAGCAGCTTCCCGGCCGTGTCCGCTTCTCCCTCCCCACCTGCTGTTGCTGCCGTTGCTGCTGCTGACAGGAACGTGGTAGGAAAGCAGAAAGAAAATGCCAGCCATCCTGGTAGCCTCCAAGATGAAGTCGGGACTACCGAAACCCGTGCACAGCGCCGCTCCCATCCTGCACATCCCAACGGCGAGGACCAGCCCGCAGCCCTGCTACCTCAAGTTCGGCAACAAGGTGGAGGTGACCAAGCCGCTGTATTCCAGCCAGATCCCTCTCAAATCTCCCAGCGGCCAGGAGAGCGTAGGAGACGGCCTCGTGCCGAGGAAGAGCAGCTCGGGAGAGAACGGCTTCGACACGCAGGTTAGAGCGCGCCGGGGCTGCCGGGGACGGGATGAGATGCTCTGCCGCAGCCGGCGGTGGCGGGAGCCGCCAGCCTCGTGCGGAGCTTGGCGTCTCCCCACGGCTTGGGAAGCAGTTGGAAGCYGCCCTGCGTGCGGCAGAGCTGCCAGAAGCTGGTGCTGCTGTGTCAGGATAGGGAAATCTCATCTACTCCTGGTTTTCCTTTCCTTTATTTCCTTTCTGCAAGGACTAACGTCAAGGCAGCCATCCCTGCCGTGTAGATTTTAAAATCCTTGGCCTCCTAACCTACTCTGTTAAGAAAAGCCKGGTGCTGCCTGGGTGCGTTTGGCCCCGTGCCCTGGATTCAGGATGTGCTGCCCTTTCTTTGCTGCTCGCCAGGGTGGCGCGTCAGGCTGGGCTAATGTGACTGCAGCAGGTCCCCAGGGCCGGTGGCAGGGTGGTGGCAGCAGCCTCGCGTGCCCGTAAGAGAGAAACGGGCGCTGTTGCCCTTCCTCATGCTGCCTTCTGTCCCCACAATTAGGAAATGCCAGCCAAATGKCATTTGTAATGCTGGCTCTCTCCTACGTGCCTTTGTTTCTGCATGGARATTCACCTTTCTGCATAAGTGATGGTTATTCATACAGGCTTTCCCATCTGCAAATAGATTTTAACCAGAGAGATCCTGCTGTAGCAGTAGCAGGTGACAGCAGATAGGGGAGTAGCGTGTGTATGTGTGTACATACATACACATATATGTGTGTGTGTGTGTCTATATTTATATATGTGGAACAAACCACATTTGGTATATACTGATATCAAAAGGGTCTTCATGCTAATCTATTGTATTTAAAGGGGAATGGGTTTTGGCTAGAGAAATCTGGGCTAATTTTGGCTTTTGAACAACCTACTAAAAGCAGGGGGAGAAAAACGCCCAGCGTGGTCATTCCTGATACCCTCATTGCAGTGCAGGTCTCAGCAGGTGCCCRGGTGAGTTAAGGTGCCTGCCGGGGAGGTGCATTTTATTCCCTCTTTTGGGTAAATATCGTCCTTTCGTGCCGTWCTTCCTGATGCAGCCTTGGCCCCTCTGAGCATGCGATCTCCTGGGGTGTTGCTGTTCAAGGCACCGGTTTGAGGCACTGGGAGTGTTTCTGGGAGTGTTTCTCCAGGTCCGTTGCCTCGAGGGCACCGTCCTTTCCTTTTTTTCCCTCATCCCTCCCAGGGAGGAGGAGGAACGGGACGCATGGATGGATGGATGGGTGGATGGAGGGACGGACTGCTGCCAGCTGCTGCGTCAGCAACAGAAAGGTTTTTTCCTAGGAAACCTGCATTCAGATACAGAGGTGCTTGTTGACCAGGGTGAATAAACACCCTGAGGCTTCATCCTAGACATCTCACTAGGACTAAATGCCTATATAAGTATCATATATGTGTAATATAGGAGTGATCATTTGTTTCTGTGATATTTGCTCTTACGTACCAATATTGCCCTCCCTGCTTTACTGCACAGGCACCTCAGTGCCCTTGTAGGAGAGCTGAGATCCATACGTTGGACTGAYACCGACTGTTTGGGCACCTCTCTTCTGGAGAGCTGGGACCCCATGTGGATTTGCAGCCTATGGGAAGGATATAATATCCTTCTTTTCTGTGCACTGTAATGTACTGATTTATTCTGCAGAGGAGGCCACATCTCAGGCTGTATTTTGCCCCTGATTCTGACCTGGGCACTGCAACTGATATTCCTTTGCGTGCTTATTTGTAGAAATAGGGAAAAATCAAGGTATTGCACGTGGGAAATGTGATATCAGTGACAGCTTCTTGATGTTGGTGGGTAGGAGGGTATGATTTGAGGTGTGTGAAGTGGATTTCCCAGTGGCTGCAAGTGTCGTGCCTTGATGCCATGTAAGGGCAACGTGTTATTTTAAATGCTCTGCAATTTATAAAAGGCAATTTCAGGTCCTTGCAGAGGCGCTTTCCAAAGAGAGCTCGGAGGGTTTTAGCATCAGGCCCGTTGCTTAGGCTGATGAATCATGGCAGTGCCCTTTCTCTCTTACAGTCTTTGATTTATGGCCTCCATTCATTTTTCCATATTAAATTCCCTGTGTTTGGCACAGCAGAACCCTACCATTGCCCGGGTTCTTAATCGGTGCAGTTTTAGGCACCGCCAGCGCTGTGCCCGTGCTGCGAGCGCGCTGTTTTGGAAATATTTAACTTTGTTACCAGAGAAACTTCCATCAAGCAGATAGCACGATAGGGATCTCTCCCGCACAAAGCRCTATTTATTGGTTTATTTTGAAAAAGTATTTGGCGATTAAATGAGCGTGAGTTATTTGAGGCAGTCCTCGCTGCTAATGAGAAGCCCCGGGGCAGGTGGAGGTGTGAGCAGGGTGCGAGCAGGAACGGAGTAAGTGCTCCRTTACTGTGGGAGCCACCGGAGGAGATGACAGGGGATTCAATGAATGTGTGTGTTGCTGCTCTCTCATATCCTCTCGCTTCTTGACTCCTCACTCTCTGGAGACCCGGGAGAATAATTACTGCTTGTAGCTCGGTAGGGCTAGGAGAACAACGTGTCGATCTCGTCCTCTCCCCAAGTTCCACAGAGTCACTCTGATAACTATTTATTTAACTTAATCTTCAAACAGGTGTAAATACTGCCTTGACCAACCTGAAGGTTTAGCTGTCTGTAGCACTTTGGGTTTTATTGTGTGTGTGTGTGTTTGCAAATACCAAACTTAAACCTCTCTTGCTGCTTTACCCCTTTTTTCTCCTGCAGCAGACACAGAAGGCAAGCGGTCACAGAGCGGTTATCCCGTCCTCCCTCGCTTTTCTCTTTCTCTACACAAAATGAACCAATTCTTTCAACCTTTCCTCTCTGGTTTGCTGTTTATGCAGAAATACAGGAACTTGTATAACTCTTCATGCTTGGCTCTCCCCACTTTGTCCAGATCTTGCGGTAAGAGTTTGGTTCAAAACTGGGCCATCTTCTACCTCGTTAGACCCAAGTGCAGGAGTTGTCTCTTCTGTCCTACCCATCAGTTGTTGGAGSCTTTTAAAATTTATTTATTTATTTATTTACTGSTAGGAGCTGCCCTGTTCACTCACCTTCTGTTTGGGATTCCCTGTGGCCTGGTATCACTGCCTACAATAAAACCGCCTTGCTCAGATAACCCTCGTTTTGTGCTTTACGGAGAATTTTCTTTCCTTAGCCTKTTAGTTCTCTTCAAAGTACTTCTTYTCCAATTTGTGGATTCCAGACAGATCTCCCAAGTGCTTGTAGTACCCATCCAGGTTACTGACATCCCTAAATGTTGTTTAGTGGCCATTCTGTTGCCCAAGTCAATGACAATAGATATGGGTGGAGAACCTCCATTGCAGATGGGTGCAAGCCATAGGTAGGTCCAGGCTACTGAAGAAACTCCAGGAGTCCTTGAGTCAGCTGTGTGTTGCCTTGAAATACTTGAACAGCTCACAACTGGCTTATGTAATAGGTAGCTGCAGTATTTTTCCACACTTCAAATGTGGGCTGACATCAACCCCTTCTAGGGCTGCCTGTGACCTGTGATTTATTGGCTCTTGGTTAGACTTCACTGTGCCCCATTCCCATGTCATTAGCCATCCAGATGAATTATTGTAGTTTGGATATTAGCAACTGCTTYTCTATGTTTTGATTGCTTTTATCAAAAGCAGTTTCTACTTCCAAATCACTTTTTTGGTAACGTCAAGTTTCACAAGGAGAGAGATTTRAAAAAAAACACACAAATACACTGCTGAGAAATGGCACCTTCATTTCCCACCATTCTTATTTATGGTGTTATGCTTCACTGTAGGATTATGCTTCACTGTAGGACCCTCTTGCAGAAGGGTTGGAAACCAAGCAAGTCTTATTCTGCACCCAGGTTTAATGGACATGTGCATAGAGTAGCCTTGTGGTTTTGAGCGTCACTGCATAGGCTGCCTCGGTGAGAGAAGTGGGTCTCGTTACCACTGCTATTCCAGTTGTAAAAGAAAGGTAAAATGTATTGTAAAAGATAGGTAGTCAGCAATGCTGATAACCAGTGTAGAAGACGGTTGACTTGAGCTTTTGGGGAAGAAACTTAGGTCACTTTTTAGGATGTCTACAAAGGAGGCGAGTTAGACAAATGTAAGYAAAACTGTAGATTCAGGCTAGCAAAATATATAACCATCAAGTTAATTTTAAATGAGTGTTGTCTTCAGTGAGCTTGCTTATGTGATTATAGTTCTGTCCTAAAAAATTACTGTTGCTCTGAAGGAGCTAAATTCTCTGAAGGATTTTTTGACAGATATAGTAAACAATCTTGGCCTATTACGTAACCTAATCCAAATCTTCCTGCTAGTTATGATTGTGCTGATTTTGATGGTATTTTAAAAGATATGCATATTATTAAATACTGAATTGTAACAAGGTTGTTCCAAATGAARTGTTCCAGAGTACAGCTCAAGAGAACAATTCCTGAATTGCTTTTGCTGTGATTACTGAACTGTGTTTCAAGGATCCATTCAGGGTATTAAGGGTGGCCCAGGGTTTTTGCTCGGCTTTCAGCTAATTGTGGCAGTTCTTCAGTAAACAGACACTTGTTCATCCCGAAGTTCAGTACCTTCCCTGTGGAATTGCCCAAGAAGCAATCCCAAAGGTGCTTATTGTTAATCTAAGGCCACCGTTGAATTTGGTCGAGTTTTTATGGACCCTGATGAGTGTTTTTGAAACACTTGCTTCATATGACCTTCTTTTCCCTCTTTTTTTTCTGTTTATTGCTGCTTCTCTGATCTCTGCTAATTGGTAGTATCAAAGGGGCCTCCAATTTTTTAATACGCTTAAGAGCACTCCTCTGAGATAGGGATGCTGTTAGTGCCTTGTAAATGGATGGCTGCGGCATAAAGGGACTTACCAAGGTCACAAAGTCTGTGATGCTACAGAAAATTACTAGCTAGTCCCCTGGCTATCGATTATCTTTCTCCTTTGCTGCTGCTTGTTAATCAGTTCCAAATGCCTGCGCGTATGGTGG